TGACACAGCTGCTAGCCACTACATGTACATACCTCAATTTTTGTTACTTTCTCTGCTTGACTTTGCCTGTTACAGAATGTTTCAACACTGATCTTAAATGACAGATCTGGCTTGAAGTATGGTTTCATTAGCTCCATGGGGTAAGATCGAACATTCTTGTGTAGTTCTTCTTCTGTTTTAGCTTGAGCCCAAAGTTCCATGCAAGAGCGTAGCCCCACAGATCGGCTAGCAATCTGCCTAGCAGCTTTTTCAGAAGGTAGTTCCACTACCCAATAAGGCTAAAATAAAATGTGGCAAGTTCGTTAATTACGTGAAATCCCGTGGAAATAAAAATAGAAAAACTGCACTACCTTAATTTATAAAACATCAAACACATGTGGTAAGAGTATTCACTTTCACACAAATGTATTAGTGCTACTACAAAGTTTTCTAAGTAACAGATCCTCTGCATAGGATATAGCATACCAGACTCTGTACCACTGCAAAATATTTTACGCAGACTTACATGTGTGACTCTTTTCTTTAATTATACCTATCTACAAACAATGTAATACTTACATGTTGGTTTGGTTTTTCAAGCCATCTTATATTAATGTTGAATAGGGATGCAATAGATGTAATCTCCTGCAAAGAAAAGGATATACATCGAACATTGTTATTATCATTATCCGAAATTTATTTCTAGTACTAAAAATTTAAGCAGTTTGATAATAAGACTGGATTATGATGGGGCAGCTTAGGTTAGGTAAGTTGATAATTTTGAATGTATTACGAATTCGACCCTTTCTGTACAACTTACAGGCAAACGGAAATCTACGTGTTCGTTGGCAAACCAAAATAAATATTTCTTGCAGTTTTGACTAGTCATTGTCAACAGAAAACAAACTACCAGAATTCATATTCCATCATTGTCTACTAAACCACCTTGTGTGCAACTATCGCAATAAACATAGTATGTTAACGCATAACACATGAGCCACTGAAACTCATCCATCCAAACCTGTAATCTGTGAGCGATCCGCTCACTGACGGTGAACGATGTAGCATATATGTGCCTCCCTTCCACAGACAATTCATCCTACCATGTGA